TTGCTGCCACTCGAAGGTGGTGTTTGTGGCTCACGCAGCGAGCGATTGTGTGATGCACTCACCTGTGATTGTGTGTGATACACTCACCTGCAGAGGCAGCAACGTGGCTATAGGAGACAGTAACACAAGGAGGTTTGCTGACTTATCGGTACGCAATTCTTCGTTCATATATATACGAGCCTTCTCCTGGCACGCCAGCTGCATTGGGCATGCAAAAAACATTCAGCGACCCAAAGAGCCATACAGAACCATCCTGAAAAATCATTTGAAGACCCGGTGAGGCTTCTTTCATCGGTAACTAATTACGGTTTTGATTCGTAGATATTGCGCTGTGCACGCGCAAATATATTTTTGTATGAATATAAAAATACGTACAAAAGCGGGGCTTTATTTGAGTCAGGTAATGTGGGCTTGCGTTGATGCTCTCAGGTATCTACACAGACTATAAACGCAGGCGGCACTGCACTTAAAGAAAAATCATTATTGCCATTATTTTTCTAAGATAAATAGCTTGTCATGCCATAGCCAAAGGTTACGGCATGGAGAAATATGTACAAACATATCTTATCATCCGTTTTAATTTAGCCCCCAAGGTGGCCAGTGGGAGCTGACGGGATTTGCTATCGTTTTTTTTTTACCATCTGTTTTATGAACAATAAATCATTTATCTGGGCTAATGAATATGCATGTGGGGTTTTATTATTATTATTGCTATATATGTGTTTGTTTATTCAAACCGGTAGACTGTTTGCATGACACTCCGAGAGGTAAGCATGCTTGGCACATTTTGGCACAAATAGGAAAAGTTCCGATTAGTTGGGGTTGCTGGCTTCGTCAAGCAGTGGTCATGATGATGACGATGATGTGTAATAGTATAGAAGTGAAATTTTGATTTAAAGCTTTCGTGACTGCAGGGATTCATATTCTTGGTTCTTTCGGTAAAGTCACGTAGAAGGGAAATAATAAAGTAATAAAAAAATCTGAAACAATAAAATTCTCACGACATTTCGACTGCAACACAAGCAATCATCATCAGGTGTGAAATCCACAGCAAGAAAATTAGTATAGAAGTGCTGAGGGCACACGGAACGAGTCTGCAGCACAAGCTACAAGGACATCTCAAAGGGTCAAAGTGTCCTCCTGCTCACATGAGCAATGATGCCAGCACTCATCTCCATTAGCGACCCTGAGCCACTGGTGGAAATTTCATCTTCCTTTTCACGGGAGCCAAGTCTCTTCTTCGTCGGACGACCACTGTTGACTTCCCACAAACGTGGCGCTCATTTTATTAATGTAGACAGGAGGGTAGGCTGGGCTAAGTGAATTTTCAACCTTGTTTTCGTCAATTGGAGCATTTGGCCTTCGCGCTACCTGGCCGCATATAATTGTAGGTCGTGCGCGCGATGTGAGAGCTGCAAGAAATTTGGCATCCCACCTGGTTATTGATTTTATCAACTGACATTATGGCCCCATCAGCTGTAAAACCTTGGGCTCTGTATGGAATCCAGCCATGAAAGGCTTAGAACTCTTACCCTACTTGTAATGTGCAGGAGGTGGCAGAGATGAGATTATTTTATTGACCCTTGTTGGTGATGGGCTACGTTGGAATCTAGGTCATGATTTGTAACTCCATAACCTTCTACATGCGCATTGAGTGCTCTGCTGCAGGTCGTCCTGTCCAGATGCACTCGTAACTGTACACGTATACAAACACAGTCCGTGGAGATCTATAGTTCTCTGCTGCATAATGTCCCCGGTGATTTACCAATTCCTTCTGTAATGAGGACACCAAAACCCTTGTGACACCATTTGCAAAGCAGGCCCTGTTCCAGTGTCATAGCCCACGTAAGATGTATTCGACCTAGTAACTTGCTATTTGGTAAGGGGCTAGGTCGGGGGATGTAATCTCTGAAAGCTGTCTTAAATTTATCTGAATGCCTCTGCCAGCACTGTTTAATTAGGGGGCACAGGAGTTGTGTCTACTTTATTTTATTCGTCGGCCAGTTTTGTATTTTTAGTCTGCCCTTTCTGGCGAGTGTCCAGCAGTGATGCTGCTGCTGCATAGGTTTCGACGTCGCGCCGTACGGCTCTCCGATGCGATGCGCGGCTTGCACCACGTGATGTCCAACGTTCTCCTTCCTCGGGGAACCGAACTTGCTTCCAGACGGGCGTTACCGACGAAGCTCCCGGGGAACACGGAGCGAAACGTCAGACGTCGTGGCGAATGACGCGCGGGTCCAAAACCCTTCTCGAGCGCGACACGGGTGAGGTGACCCTGCCGTTCTTGCCGTCGCAGGTGCTGAGGACGAGGAGGATGGACCACCTCTTCGGCAGCGTCGCGACGCTCATGTCCAACCTGCTGCGCTCCATTGTCACCGAGTCGCTCCGCGATCTCGTGGCCGTGTTCGAGGAGCTGTCGGCCGGCAACGACTACGGCGAGGAGTACCCGCGCGGCGAGCTGGGCCTGCCCACCAAGCCGCTGCCCATCATTCTGTTCATGGTGAGGAGCGCTCGCACGGTCACGGCCACTGCTGCCGTTGCTCAAGCTTATAGTAACGATTTGTCGCGCTCGTTTCCTGCAGAGTAAGGTGAGTTTAATACCGTGACTAAAAAAAAAATGTTTTTTTAATGATAATTTAGTATATATGTTATTCGTTGCTGTATGTTGCTATGTAGCCTTACATCATTAAATCATTTGCAGATAATTGTATTTTTTTTGGTAAAATTTTAAGCGTAATGCTGCCACGCTTGGCCTACTCCTTTCAAATAACGTCACAGGATCTTTAATGTCCACCGTGAAGTCAACGGTCCAGGATTTTTTAAAATGTAATGCACCCCCTAGTGATAATCAGGGTGGCCTCTGAGCTTCAACTGCAAGCGCGCTACCGCTTGGCCACATCGTCGCCCTCAGGGCTGATGATCGAACTTTAAAAAATGTTGTTCGGCCCCGTGCAGACCATGAGTCGCATAAAACGGAACGGAAGGTATTTATTTTTATTTTTACATTGCAAAACACTCGATTAAACAAATAGACTTCATCTTGTAAATGTAGGAGCTTGAAAATGCCAAATCACGAAATTGTGCCCGCATGAAATCATGGTAAAAAAACATTTTTAACGTGTGACCTTTTTAAATTGAACATTAAAAAGCATTCTCCGCTCTATAAATGGAGATAAGTAAAATGATTTGCAGTGTTTGCGGAAAAAAGTTGCATTTGCACTTATTGAGGTGTTAAACATTTTAATTTGCAACCGAATATGTCGAGATGTGCTTTTACAATCATATGAGTTATATGACGTACATTTCAGTCATTTAATTCTAGACCTGTTAATGCCGGATGAATCTCGTTGTATATTGATCGAGAAAAAAAAAACGATAGAGTTTCAAAGTTTTTATATTTTGCAGGAGGGCCCTACATTGAGATGTTTGGCCAATTTGATGATGAACAGTTTTACAAGTAGAAAGAAGCAAGCGATTCGTAAGAGAAACCCCCCTCATACGAGGGCTTGGCATTCACCATTCCACAGATACACCATGTGCTCAGGAAGCCTCTCTGTGCATTGTCACCTCCTGGCCACCTCTCAGCCGAGCATGATGGGGGATGGGAGTTATTGGGGGGGGGGGGGTGGTAGTGGTGGGAGGGGAATTCACGAGACAGTGATCTCACAATAATCCACCAACCCCATCTCAAAAGCACCACGTTACTGGTGGGTGTGCACCGAGGCATGCAGGAAAAAGTCGGGCCACAAAACGTCACACAATGTCCTAGCCCGGCAAATGACGACGTTGCCCACAGGTTTTGTAAACATCCACTCTATAGTACTCTTGTGCCTCTTGCAAAACCGATGGACATTGTTTCGTCTGATGATGATCTATAACATGTCATTAGAATTCGATGTTTCTAAACCAGTTAAAAATAACAATTATGGTTAATTGTTTTATTAACACTGACACAGCTGTTAAGATTAATTAAAATAATATCACTGTGTAACAATTATTTCTTTATTTTATTTTTCTGGGTAGTAAGTCTTATTTCCTAATTGCTTATGCCTCAAAAGTACAGAAAATGGCTGTTATTCCCCACAAACTTTGCTTTTGTGAAAAGGATATTTTGAAATGTATCTATTTTACAGAACATTCCAGATAGATTAAGTGCTGAGTAAACTTGGAGTAGCATTCTAGAACTTTCCAGTCATATAAATAGTAATATAAATACAGGGGCCTTAAGCCCACCAGTTCAGTTTAGTTCCAGCTGCCTAAATGGATACATATCTGCATTTTTCTGAGATGGAATCAAGAGGCTGCAAGCATCCGGCAGACGCATTTTGCTATGTCTGTGGCCAATTCATCAAGACAAGAGCGAAAAAAGTACTCTGTAGAAGCATCTGCTAAGATGTGTGAGGCCTACAAGGCATATTTCGGCATGCCTATCGGGGATCAAGACAAACCCTGGGCACCTCATTTCACCTGCGAGCAATGCTAAAAAAATCTAGAAGGTAAGATGGACAAATGTTGCTCGTAATTTTATGTTATAAAATGTGATTTAAAAAATGTAATTGTAAACGTTTTTCTACTTTAAAATGTTTTACAATTTTCAATGTTATTTCAAAAATATTTCAAAAGTTGTCTTTAAAACATTACATATACATACACAAATACTAAGCTATTGTGAAAGCCCGGCGTGTCATTTGTCTGTCCATTTGTCCATCAACAAAATTATAAGAGGCTTGCAGAAGTCCAAAAAGTAATAGAAAGCTGGGGGTAAATAGTTGATCTAAAAGATTTCTGAAAATGTTTACCCCCGCGTAGGCAAATGTACCTACACACCCTACATACAACAGAGTGAGTAGTATCTCGTGACTCTATAGTAGCGTCTGGCTCTACAGTAGGATCTGGTTCTACAGTAGTACCTACTGACCCTACAGTAGTATCTAACGACGCTATAGTAGTAACTGCTGACTGTATAGTAGTATCTATTGACTGTAGCAGTATTTACTGACCATGGTGGTTTCTGCTGACTGTAGTATCTGCCAAACTCTATAGTAGTATCAACCAAATCTATAGTAGAAATACTGACTCTACAGTAGTATCTAATGACTATAGTAGTATCTACTGAATCTATAGTCGTCTCTACTAACTCTATGGTATTATCCACTGGCGATAGTAGTAACTACTAACTATATATCAGTATCTGCTGACTCTATGGTAGTATTTGCAGACTCTATAGCAGTATCTACTGTCTCTATAGTAGTATCTACTGACTTTGCAGCAGTATATACTGACTATAGTGGTATCTACAGACTGTAGTATTATATACCGACTATAGTAGTAATTACCTACTATCGTAGTAACTACTGACTCTACAGTAGTATCTACTGCATCTATAGTAGTATCTACTGAATCTATAGTCATATATATTAACTCTATAGTAGTATCCACTGACTATAGCAGTAACTACTAACGCTATAGCAGTGTCTACTGACTATAGTAGTATCTGCAGACTCTATAGCAGTGTCTGCTGACTCTACAGTAGCATCTACCGACTCTGCAGTAGTATCTCCCGACTCTACCATAGTATCTGCCTACTCTATAGTCGTATATAGCGACTCCATAATAGTATCTATCGACTCTATAGCAGTTAACTACTAACTTAACAGAGTACCGTGGTGAGGCCTAGCCCTGTGCAGAGCCCCTGGCCTCGCCTAGATTGCCCAGGCAGCCGAGGTGGCACCTTGGCAGGTTGGGGCTGGGCTGCTACCCCGCCCCCCCACCATCCCACCGCCCGCTTTACATTAGTACCGAGGACTATAGTAGTAGCATCTACCGACTCTATAGTAGTTCCTGCACACATTGGGGTGGGGGGGGAGAAGAGGACATCACACTTTGAAGAATTTACCTCAGCGTTACGTATTTTTTCTGCATTTTTAATGCGAATGAGAATTCCCCCCTACCCCCCCACTGATCGCGTGTGTGCATTGTAACCACAGATCAATGTTTCACGCATGCGCAGATGCGCGCTTAGCGTAGTAATATAATAATTATTAGGACTAAATTGTTAATTTAACTACTTTAAAGTTGACGGATGTGAAATACGAATAGCGCTGGCTCACCACAGGGCTTATCGCGTGGTATCAGGATACTTTTTTTAAACGTAAACTCCACAATTTGTGAGTTAAATCCATCGCAAGTCGCGTACACAGAAGGACAGAGAGACAGACAGACAAAAAATACTTTCATAGGTAAGATGAAACATTTTGTGAGAATATCTTACACATTAGTCATGGGTGAAATAAATGCATTTTTGTAGGATGGTACAGAGGGGAAAAGAGAGCCGTGAAGTTCGTTATCCAAATAATTATGCGGGAAACTACTGACCATACAATCAACTGCTACTTCTGTATGGTGGACCCTTCCAAACGTTGGACTGGCAAGAATGCACCTGCTATCACGTATCCAGACCTTCATCCATCACCCCGGTACCACACTGCCATGAGCTCACCGTACCCACTCTTCCGGAGAGAGAGCAGCCGTCTTTAAAAGATAGCAGCAAGTCAGAGAGCGAGGAAGACCTTGTAGATCCAGAAGATAATTTCTGAGGTGGAGCTGAGGAGGGAAACCCATACTACCCCAACTAAAAACACCTCAACGACTTGATCAGAGATCTTGGTTTCACCAAGTCCAATTCCGATCTTTTGATGTCGAGGCTCAAGCAGTGGAATTTGTTGGATGAAGGTGTGCAAGTCACAGATCAGAGGAAGCGTCACCAACCTTTTTGCAGCTTCTTCACCCATCAAGATCGGCTCTGCTTCTGACACAATCTGACCAGTCTGTTCGAGGCAATATCTTTTAATCAGAATGAGTGGCGCCTCTTCATTGACAACTAATCCAGGAGCCTCAAAGCCGAGCTGCTTCATAATGGTAACAAGTACCCGTGTCTTTCCGTGGCTCACTCGGTGTACCTCAAAGATGATTACAACAGCATCAGGACCTTGCTGGCTGCCTTGAAGTATGATGAGTACAGCTGGAAGGTCATCGGAGACTTCAAAATGGTGGCATTCCTGATAGGTTTCCAAGGCGGTTTTAGCAGGTTTCCGTGCTATCTTTGCATTTGGGACAGCAGGGACACCAAGGCGCACTACCACATGCGAGACTGGCCACAGCGGACCGAGTTCTCTGTTGGGAGGAACAACGTCAAGTGGGAGCCACTGGTGGACCCCCGGAAGGTGCTGATGCCACCACTGCACATCAAATTGGGCCTTATGAAACAATTTGTCAGAGCTGTAGATAAGGAGTCGGCAGCCTTCAAGTACCTTCGAGACTTCTTCCCTAAGCTGTCTGAAGCAAAGGTCAAAGCCGGTGTCTTCGTCAGACCACAGATAAAGAAGATCCTGGAGTGCAATGAATTCCCCAAGAAGCTCACTATTAAGGAGGATGCGGCTTAGAACAGCTTTGTCGCAGTGGTTCGTGGCTTCCTGGGCAATCACAAGGTCGAAAACTATG